GAGAGAGAGAGAGAGAGAGAGAGAGAGAGAGAGAGAGAGAGAGAAAGAGAGAGAGAGACAGGCAGGCAGGCAGGCAGGCAGGCAGGCGGAGAGACAGACAGACAGACAGACAGTTGGTCAGGCAGGCAGGCAGAAAGACAGACGAACAGACAGACAGACAGGCAGGCAGAAAGACAGACAAACAGACAGACAGACTGGCAGGCGGAGAGACAGACAGACACACAGGAAGGCAGGCACGCCGGCAGGCAGGAGGAAGAGACGGACAAACTGTAATGTTCTCTTTGTAGTCGGTAGAACATGCATGTCTGGCATTGTCTGTCCATATTTACCATCCTGGCTGGGTGAGTAACTGCCGCCGATCAGGAACACGATGGGACTTTGCAAGGTGGGCTGGCACTCATGTTGTGTTTTTGCATCCCCCGTTGTGTGTGTTGTTTGCTGGCTGTGCATCAGGTGTCATTTGCGGCCTCTTTAACATTTCAGTCTGCTGTGCACGCACTTCGGCATTTGAATTTCCAGTTCACCGTTCACACAAGTCTTTGTTGAGGGCCGGGTGTTTTCGACCCACTCGTGCAACATATTATGAACTCGGTGATCGAGAGGAGAGAGCATTTTTTGCAGGTCAAAGGAAAGGTCGTGGTGTACGTGGTCATCTTGCACGAGCAGGTGCTTACAGCGCATGCAGTCATGTAAACTGTACATGTTATTCTGATCTGCTGTGCAGTTTTCCTTTCTGTTGAGAGTGGAGGCAACTTTCGGGATTAGACTGATGCTTAAGAGCAGTGGTCGATCGCTCTGAGAAACAGTTGGGGCGCAGGATGGGGGCAAAGAGGGGGGGAGGAGGGAGCTAAGGCCGGGGGGAGAAGTGGGTTCAGCCAGTCCAATTGTTGTTGGCATAATGAGTTGAAAATGTACCTGCATTGGGGAGGGGGGAGGGGGGGAGGAGGGGAGGAGGGGAGGAGGGAGCTATGCGAGGGAGGAGACGGACAAAAAGGTTGGTGTGAACATGGTGCTGCAGTCGACTTATAGGTTTATTTTGTGTAATTGAGATTACGCTGAGATCACGCACAGGTGACGACTTGGAATAGTGCCAATCTACGTTTTCAAAGGAGGTGAGTAGCATTTGCGATATGATGTGGAAGTGGAAGAGGGAGTGGGAATTGGAGTGGGAGTGGGTGGGAGTGGGAATGGGAGTGGGAATGGGAGTGGGAATGGGAGTGGGAGTGAGAGTGGGCTCAATAATGTAGTGTGGTTTGCAGGAAGATTTGGAGTGCTGTGGCTGCTGCTTGCCGAGTGGGGGTTTCATGCTGTCGGAGGGTCGGGGGATGGGGAGGGGAGGAGGGTGATGTGGAGATGCTGGGGGGCCAGGTTTTGGTCTCGCGCAATGTGGCTATAACAAATACTGGTGTGAAATGGTGCAGCAAGTTAGCAACCTATTTTTTTGTCAAGAAGGTGGGACCTATCTAGGGGTGAAAGACACAGAGGAGGCGGTCTCTGTGTCTGCAATTCTGTTTGCAAATCCACGATTCCTGTACCTACCTGTATGTTACAAATTTGCAAAATATTTTTTTCTGCCTTAAATCTGGCTGGTGCAATGACCCAGCTGGATGCGACTCAATCAGGCGCAGCACAAAGCAAAGATCCACGAAGTTAACACGCTTGCACACTTGAGATGAAAATGGAGTTTGGAGTTTGGAATGATTGAAGTAATCACTGAAAAGTTATTGTAAGGTTCAATGAAATAGTGGAAAGAATACTCAGAGTGATTATTTCATTGGCCTGGTCTGTCCGACACTGGTAGGCCGAGGGGTCAAAAGTCCGGTCCGGCCCCCTGCGTTGACCAGGTCACCTTGGTCGGCCGGCTAGGCCGGCTGGGCAAGGGCCAAGGAAGGTACCCTGAGCCAAAAAAAAAAAAAAATTTTTTTTTTTTTTTTTTTTCAATGGAACCACGCCTCAGTCTATTGGTGGGGAGCATCACAAGGTGGGAAACGGGCCCAGCGTCCCCGACAAGGTGAGAAGAGAAAAGAATGGGGAAAGGGGGGTGGTATCGGGGTTGCCACTAGAGCAAACTTGCATGCGACAGGAACCACTGTGAGTGAACTCAATGTGACGCAGGAAAGAAAAAACTGAACAACTATTTAAAAAAAAAAAAAAGGAAACGACTTCATTACACAAGCGAGGAAACGGACCTGGTGCCTCTGAAAACACAAACAAGGCATCACAGGCAAGGTTTATCAAGGGAACCGCTACGAAAAAGGGAAAGAATTTGAGCGGCAAAGCGACCGTAGCTGATGTAGCCAAAAAGTAGCAAATTGTGGGATGCTATTTCCAAAGCAGGTGCTAGACAAAACAACTGGAAATCAGTTAATTAACAACTGGAAATTAATTAATTGATTAATTAATTAACTAATTTACTTATTAATTAATTAATTAATTAATTAATTAGTTAGAAAACAACGACAACAACAACAACAACAATGACAACTGGAAAGTCTAAACAAACTACTGCCTTCTAACACCACCTAACTTCACATCATACAAAAAAAAACAAAAAAAAGGATACAATCTGAAAGTACTGCGAACTGCCAGTGTTCTGAAAAGCTACTGCCTTTGACCACCTTCTACCTTTGCGTCATTCAAGGACAGCTACAGGTAAAGCAAGAAAAATGACAAGTAACCATCGAAGAACAGTGCCTGCTGCCTAGTACCTACCCGCTACAGTGAGACTGTACAAGAGCCGACAAAGGTAAGCAGCAAGCAATTTAAGAGGAGGAGACAAAGGAGGAAAACAACCACCGCAGGGTCTCCTGTACTTCGAGCAGACCAGGGAAAATGTTCCTAGTGATGCACAGAGTTAGGGCCTCGCTGGACTACTCTCGACATGCACAGAAGACAAAAAACATGGCGCTGTATCTTTCCATCTTCTCGCGGAAGATGCACTCTCGTTTTGCACATTTCGAGAGTAGTGCAGTGAGGCCCTTATTTAGTGCCTGCGGGGCGTAAGCCTTGCTGTGCACTTTTGGCCTCTGGGTCAAATTGAAATTCCTCACCAAACTAAAATTAGTAATTACAAGTCGGAAGTTTCTTATCTATTTGCTTTTGGCCAGGCCGGGCAAGTGAGCCCGGGCAACTCTGGTAGCCTAGGTCCCACATGAATTCCCAAGATGGATGGAATGGCGATATACCATTCGTTAAAATTGTGTTGATGGTATGCAAGCCGAGCATGCCAACAAAATTTCCAAATCTGTCCCAGATCGAGTCCCAGACGCCCAATCGGTTGTCGTTTTCCTGATGCTCACATTGTAAGGTAGTGGTGTGTGTGTTAACACTTCTAAAGGGGCCTCATTTAGACCTCCACAAATGTGCAAACATGTGAAATTCATCTTGCTGTGTGCTGTTGCATATTAACATGTGTTGGGAAGTCGTGATCACGCCACTCGAGTCAATGTTCGAGGAACTCAACTTCTGCATCTCTGTTCTACAAATTGCAGCAGAGGGTTAGGAAGCGTGATGTTGGGATATGGACGGCAATAGCTGGTGCATGAGATACGATCTTTGCGGGGTCAACCAAAGGCGAAGCCGCAAAAGTAAATGATGTCGGCCTGGAGTACAGTTCACCAGGCAGTCAGATCCTGGGGACATCCATGAATGGTGTACGAGACGAAGAGGGAGAGAAGACTATACTCGTTGTCATGTGGAGAAATTAAAAGCGACAAGGCAATGATGTTACCCTGTAGGATAAACAAGGGCCTTAAGAATGAAAAAAGGCCTTAAAACCGCCAGTACATGGCTCCAGCCTTGCGGAAATTTTTGTGGCTCGGCCCTACTGGACCACAATGGCTGGCGGTGGGGACAGCCAAAAAAGGACAAGTGCTCTGCTAGCAGCTCGGGAAATCAGGGTTGTCTCGCGGGGATCCCCGGGGGCCGAGCCGGGCTCGAGGTTTGAACCCCAGATCCCTGGCGCGGGGATCCCTGACCCCCTCCCCCCGCCCATTGACCCCCGGTCCTGCCCCAACCCCTGCACCCCCGCCCC